AAGGACAAAGGTAATTAATTTTATTCTTGTATAATTTAAACAAGCCTAGCTAGCAAAAGTCTCTCTCTCTCTCGATCGATCGATCGAAAAATATGCATTCTTTCAATAAAATAATTTTACATATTGACACATAATTTTTATGTATTTTTTAATCACTTATTTTCCAAAAAAAAAAAATCATTTTTCATAAAATCTATTCTCAAATAAATTACATTAAACACACTATTAATTAAATTTAAAAAGATGTTACTTTTAAACTTTTTTTTATCAATTATAATAATTTTGAAAGTTATTTTTTTCCTTTTCTGAAAAATAAGGATTTATCAACTTGCCAAAACAACTTGACCAATTGATTTGAATTCTGAACCTACCTCCCACTTGTTATCGTCTTTATGTTCACATTTAATAAATAGTGGAAAAAGCCTCATTCATTTATAATTTGTGGTTCCAGAGAGAGATGAAAAATTAGCTAGAGAAGTGGTTACAGATTACTCTGTTACCGTGCACGAGTTTTTCATCTGCAAACTATTTTCTAATGCAAAATCTTGTTAGAATTTACTGGGTTTATCTGAGTTGAATTCTCGTTGGTAGACCATGTAATTCCGTGTATTTACTAGTACGATGAAATTGACATTATCGAACAATTCCATTTGTTGCAACAACAATATCGTCTTTAGCCATATCGATGAAAATCAAAAGTCTTTGTAAATTTGCAGGGTTCCCTTATTTTCTTCTATACATAGAAGTGTGAAATCGTAAAATAGTAAACGCTTCTTTTCTTTTTCCAATTTGACATTAGAATAATTCCAAGTGGACTTTCTTTACTAATTTGTTATTTGCAATTATTCTGCTACAGCTAGTCCCACCCCACCCCACGTGGAAAACGACTTCACTGATATTTTGATTGGGTCTCCTTATCCCCGCAATCGCATTTGGAATACACGTCTTTCAAGCCATTTCATACATGCAACAAGTATAATGGTTTCAAGACTTGTCAACACGTAGTTAAGTATAATGGCTTCAAGACTTGTCAATTCTTGATTCCCGAGGAATTTTCTCTATCCCTTTTTATAACTCTGGAAAATCATGGACAAGACGCCAAATAGAATAATGATTATTCTGCAGG